GTGCTGTGCAGACAGGCATCAGTGTTGTATAGACAGCAGCCATCAATGCTGTGTAGCCAGTAGGGAGCAGTATTGTATGGACAGTAGTCATTAGTGCCATGCAGACAGCTGGTATCAGTGTTGTGTAGATATCAGGTTGTCAGTGTTGTGTAGATAGTGGGCATCAATGCTGTGCAGATAGGTGTCAGTGTTGTGTAGACATCAGGTGGCAGTATTGTATAGACAGACAGTAGGCAACAAAGACATGTAGACAGCAGGTATTAGTGTTGTGTAGATAGTGGTGTCAGTGTTGTGTAGACAATAGGCATCAATGACATGCAGACAGCAGGTGTCAATTGTATAGACAGTGGGCATCAATGCCTTGCAGATAACAGACATCAGTGATGTATGGACAGTAGGCATCAAAGCTGTGCAGACAGTGGTGTGAATGTTGTGTAGACAGTGGGTGGCAGTGTTGTATGGACAGTAGGCATCAAAGCTGTGCAGATGGTGGTGTGAATGTTGTGTAGACAGTGGGTGGCAGTGTTGTATGGACAGTAGGCATCAAAGCTGTGCAGATGGTGGTGTGAATGTTGTGTAGACAGTGGGTGGCAGTGTTGTATGGACAGTAGGCATCAAAGCTGTGCAGACGGTGGTGTGAGTGTTGTGTAGACAGTGGGTGGCAGTGTTGTATGGACAGTAGGCATCAAAGCTGTGCAGATGGTGGTGTGAGTGTTGGGTAGACAGTGGGTGGCAGTGTTGTATGGACAGTAGGCATCAAAGCTGTGCAGACGGTGGTGTGAGTGTTGGGTAGACAGTGGGTGGCAGGGTGCTGCTTGTCGTAGATGCTGCCCAGTGAGTGTAGGTCAGGTTGCGGCATGCTGGGGCCTTTGCTGGCTGGGGTGTCCTGGGGGCTCCTGCTCTGGATCTAGATCGCACTGTGGGCTGGGCTGTGGACAACTGTGCCAAATGGAGCTGTCCACTGGGAAAGGTGAGTTAGTGGACTGTGGTAGGTATTGGGCCAGTTATCCTCAGGTAGGTGGAGGTTTCACTCCTCTGCCTGATGCATATCTGTTACTGTAGTCGTCTCCATTCCCTTGGGGCCTGGGGTCATGCTGGTTTGTGTAGGAACTCCACTGGCCCCATTCATGTGCTAACTGTTGTGGACACACCTCTTTGTTGGTCTGTACATAAAGGGCAGTTTCTCTTTGAGCACCATCTACATAAACTTTCTTTTTTTTTTTTTTTTTTGTGGGACTGGGGTTTGAACTCAGGACTTTGCGCTTGCAGAACAGGTGCTTTGCCACTTGAGCCACACTTCCAATCAACAGAAACTTTTATATATGAGGCTGTGTAAAGAAACGTCATGTTCTTTTTAGTTTTGTCTTATTAAAATCTGTAAACTTTAACACTTAAAAGAGAATGTCTTTCAATTTAAATCAGGTTCTGTCTGCAATTGTCCTTCCAGCAAGTACAGTGAGGTCAGCCAGATGTTTCCTCTGCCTTCCTCACAGAGGAGCTGACACCTTCCCTCTCCCTGCCATTCCCAGCAGTAGCCACAATGGTGCCAGGGTAGTGTGGTGGCACAGCCACAGACCGATTCACATGCTCTGTCAAACCCCTACAGATGGCCTGGTGGGTAGAGCCCCTGCAAGTAAGAAGCTCCAAGTTCAAATCCCAGGCCCACCAAAGAAAAAAAATAAAGTCATCGGTTTGACTTGGTTTAAACTTTAATTCCAATCTTCCTTTAAAATATACACAATTTGTCCCATTAACTTATTACAAAGATTTCAAACCCCACAAAATTGAAGTACTTGTATTTCCAGTGAACACTTTAGCTGTCCTTGCTCTGTTCTGATTGCCTCTCTCCCCTAGTTCTCCATCCCTCAATGTCTTATTTTTGACATATTTCAAAGCAAGCTGCAGGCCCTCTGCCCACTCCACCAGCCCTGCAGAGGAAGGCAATTGCCTGATTCAGGTTCATCACTTATAATCCTTTTTTTTTCCTTTAAAGGTAAAATTGGTATAAAACAAAATGCACAGGTCTCACTTATACTATTAGATGATTTCTGGCAAATGTGTACCTGTGTACTCCACTGTCTTCAAGCAACAGCAGCATCACCATCCCTGAACACTCCTCAGGCCCCTAGAGGCTGTGACTATGCTCTTCTTTCGACTACAGACTCACTGTCTTGTTCTGGGACATCCTATAGATGGAGTTGCCCGGTTTGAGCTCTTTACTATCAGGTTTCTGTCAGTGGCATGCTTTGTATTCGTTCACGTTACTTTTGCACTGAGTAATGTCACTGTGTACACATATGACAGCTTGTCAGTCCTTCTATTCATGAACTGCTGGGTTGGTCCCAATTTTTAGCCATTATGAATGAAGCTGCTCTGAGCATTCTTGTGCAAGTCTTCCTGGATGCACACTTGTTTCTATTAGGTAAATGCCTAGGAGTGGAACAGCTAGGTCAGAAGGTAGGAGTGTACTTAGTTTTCTAAGACACCTCCACACCAGCAGCGTGTGTGAGCTGAGGCTGTTTGTGTCCTTGCCAGCAGTTGATATACTGCTGTGAGTGCCTCGCATTTGTTTCTGTGAGCACTGATGTAGCGTGTGTGTGTGTGTGTGTGTGTGTGTGTGTGTGTTGTCTTTTTGGCAGTACTGGGGTTTGAACTCAGGGTCTTGTGCTTCCTAGGCAGGTGCATTACCACTTGAGACATGTTCCCAGCCCTTTGTGCTTTAGTTTTCAGGTAGAGTCTCATGTTTTTTTTTTGCCCGGGACCAGCTTGGACCTCTGTCCTCCTACTTAGGCTTGTAGCAGGGATCACAGGCATGTACCACCATGCCCAGCCGTGGTCAAGTTCTTTTCATGTGTGTCAGCTGTTTCTCCTCATGAAATTTCTGTTCATAAAAGCTTTATTTTGGCCTTTATGTTATTTTATTTTAGTTAATTATTTTTGCGGTAGTGAAGTTTGAATTTAAGGTTTTGTGCTTGCTAGGCGAGTGCTCTACCACTTGAGCCACTCCACTAGCCCTTTTTTTTGTGTGATGGGTTTTCTAAGATAGGGTCTCACAAACTATTGCCTGGACTGGCTTCAAACTGCGATCCTCCTGATCTTTGCTTCCTGAGTAGCTAGGATAACAGGCGTGAGCTACAGGCACCCAGCCCCCAGCCCTTTTTGCTTTAGTTATTTTTCAAATAGGGTCTCACATTTTTTCCCCGAGGCCGGCCTGTATCATGATTCCTCTACTTACCACACCCAGCCTTTTTTTTTTTTTTTTTTTAAATTGGTCGATACAGGGTTTCACTCACTTTTTGTCAGCTCTGGCTGTGTAACTATGATATTCCTGATCTCTGTCTCCTGAGTGTTGGGACTACAGGTATGGACCACAGTACCTGACTTGTTATCATCATTTTTAAAATAGGCTTTGCTTTTTAACAACAGTTTAGGCTTAAAGGAAAACTGTGCTGCGAGTATGAAGTGCAGTTCCCTATGGTCAAGATCTGCCGCAGTATGGTTTATGGTGTTTTTTTTTTGTTGTTGTTGTTTTTTGAGACAGGATTTCACTACGTAGCCCAGCCTAGCCTCAAACTCTCAATCCTCCTGCCTCAGCCTCCTGAGAGCTGGGATCATTCATAGTCATGTAACACCACGGCCACTTGGTGTATTCCTTCCACAGCTGGGAAACCAGAATGGACATATCTTCATCCTGAGTCCAGTTTACTTATGTTGTGCATGGTGTGGGCTTACACAAGTGTGTTTAACCTGTGTCCACCATTACAGTGTTCTTTATTAGGGTCCTGCTAAAACCCTCTGTGCTCCACCTAGTCACCTCCTTCCCTCAACCCCAGCCAACACAGGTCTTTTTACTGTCTTCTACACTTACAGAGTTGGGAATCAACTCTTTGTCTTTGTTCACTTTTTTCTGTTGTCTGTTTTTAATGGCCTTGATTTCTGCTGTTAGGATTACCTCCTTTTTCTTTTGATTTTGCTTTTCTCTATCTTCTTTCAGTTCTTCTCAGCAGTTGTAGGTCTCTGCCACAGTGTCGTCAGTCTTATTGTTATCGCTCTATGGTGCAGTAGGTGCCAGTTGGGATTAAGAAATGTCTTTTCTTGGGCTGGGATGTAGCTCGGTGGTACAGCGCTTGCCTAGCATGCCTGAGGCCCTGGGTTCGATCCCAGCACCAAAAAAGAAAAGACAAAAGAAAAAAAAAAGAAACCTCTCCCTAAGAAATGTCTTTTCCTCCAAGAGCTTGGAGCTTATGTTTTGCTTCCTGTGACTCTGGGGTTAGGGTGTCATCATGGGCTTTGCTCCTCCCTGGCACATCTGGGTCCTGAAGATTTTCCCCCGGACACCTGCTCTGGGCTTCCAACTCAGCATCATGAGGGTTTCTTAGTCCCTTCTCAAGCCAATAGCAGATGAATGGGATGAATTTGTGTGTGGAGGGAGATGCTGGGGCCTTTTGCATGTTAAGCACACAGTTTGCCATTAGATATACTTTACTGACAGTGACCCTCACCAGTGGGTCATGTGAGCTTGAACTCACTAGGAACATGTTCTTGGTTCTGCTTACTCATCTACTGAGAGTGAGGACAGGTCCCATATAAGGGTTCCCTCAGCCATCCTGTGGCCTGGACGGGCATTCACTACCTTGCTACACCTGCGTCCCTCTCTTGGGAGTCTGTGTGTACCAAATCAAGATGCTGCCTGGTACCTGACAGGTGCTAAGTAAGTGCTGAGAAATGGAGTGTGAGCATGGTGCACGTGTCTGTGTTCTGTTGGGGCAGAGGACCTTCTGTGAGGTGTGCACCTGATTGGGCAAGCATGTGGGAGCTGAAGCCCCATTTCTGGTTCCCTGACCCTTCTCCCCACTCCCTCGGTGCCTAGAGCAACAGAGGTTCTGGACAGCCTTCCTGGACAGATGCTGGGCTTAGATTTGACAGCAAGGTGCCTGCCTGCTCCGTAAGCATGTGGCCCTGGTAGCTTCTGTGCAGATTCTCCTTAACTCCAGCTGCAGATATGCTCCTTGACCTCAGCGACCTGCTCCAGGTAGACCGCTTTTATTTTTATGTCTTTCCCCACCTGAGAGGGTGTCTGGGGCACAGCCTCCACACACCTGGAGGCAGGTCTGTGCTGCCTTTGTAGCGGAAAGGCTTCTCTGCAGGGTAGAGAGGCTGTGTGGTGAAAGCCAGGGTCTGCAGTGGTGGGAGCAGACAGCTACTGGCAGAACTTACTGTCATTGTGCTGTTCAGGGCCCCTGTGGCCCAGAATTACAACCACTTAAGAGACCCATGTGAGTTTTGGTCCTAGGCAAGAGAGGGTCTTTGAAAGACAAAGGAAAATTGGAACCCTGTGCTTGTATTTTAAACTATGGAAAAGCCTCATACTTAGAGTCTGTTTATAGTCACTTGCTTTCTGGGTACAGGGAAAGCATTTTCTGCTGCATTGCTCATTTCCAAACAACTAAATATTTTGGGACGATGGTGGAGCATCAAGACCCTGCAGTGTGTCCCCACTGAAAGCTCTCTAGGGAGCTGGTTGGAGGCTGACTTAAGTCCTCAACACCCTGGGTTGTGGCAGGGCCCTAAGGTCCATGGCAATCATCCACTGAGGACTAGGAACGAGAAATGTCATTGAAAACAAAGGTGTCTGGAGTGTAAAGATGCCATGGATTTCAAATTGAAGGGAACTCTTCTATCCAGATCTAGATGTCCCCCAGGGGTTCTGAGAGCCTAGAGGCAAGGCTCCAGCTTCTGCTGCTCAGGCCTCAGTGCCCTCCAATAGTGAACAACAGTTAGACTCCACTTGAGTCAGATGGTACCTTGTATTTTTGTCCTCTTTATAAATGGTATGTCAGCAGCTACTGCTGAAATATTTTGTGGTCAAGCTAAAAATAACCTGTTGGAATTGTGATAATCCAGTGACTCCACCTTTCAATAGCACTGTGCTCGATTCAGGGCAAGGCCATATGACCTGGTTTCTAACCCAGTGACTTACCAGGAAAGACTGGTGCCAGAGCCAGGGTCATGCGGCTACATAAGTGGCTTGGGTACCTCTTGAAGGCAAAGGAGGTATGCCAGTCAGCTCTGGCTTCATAGATTTGGAAACAGGAAACCAGTCAGCCTGTCAGGATAGAAGAAGGTAGCCAGTAAAGGCTGAGATCCCTGTGTTGGCCAGGGAGAGCTGCATGGTCTGCACAGACACTCATACTTTGCTTTGACCTTTGACACCTCAAATGGCAGGGCCATGCTAACAGGCTTGGTATGAGGGTACCTGGCAGGTGAGGACTGGGCAAGGCTGGCTTCTCCTGTAGGAGTCCAAATCATGTTCCTTTGTTCCCCTGAGATAGGGCTAGGGATGGCCTGGCATTCTGGGGACACATTTCTGCACCTAATCTGGATGCAGGGCATGCACACATCAGCAAGGACCTCACCAGGTCTGGCAAGGGCTACTTTGAGGAAACTAATTAAAGATTATAATTGGCAGCGAGCCTCTGATTGTAGATTCTCACTTAGTTCTTGATTCCTGCACATCCCAAAGGTTAAACTTCTCCCCATTGTCTAAGACCCTCTGGCTAGAACTGTTGCTATACAAGAATCACTCTGTGGCCCATCTGGCTCATACTTCATTGTTCCTGCAGGCCATACAGAAGCAGTTCAGGTACCAGTCACAGGGTTGCTCACCTGCTTGGGTACACAGCCCCTCAGAGGCAGAGCCAAGACCCACAAGAGCGGCTGCATGTAGGATACACTGCTGTCCTGAGAGAGAAATGAGGGGGCTGGTTAGCCATGTCCAGCCTTGACCACCTGCCCTGGGAAGCAGCTGTCAGTCACAAGCATGGGGAAGTGAACTGTAAACAGGACCATTTCTAATAAACAATTCTCATAAACATTTGCATCTTTAGAAGCTGGGCATGGTGGCACATACCTATAGTTCCAGCTCTTAGGAGGCTGAGGCAGGAGAATCACTTGAGCCCAGGAGTTCAAGGCCAGTCTAGGCAACATAGTGAGACCCTGTTTCAAAAAAAAAAAGTATCTCTGGAAAGAGCTTTTTGAAACTTTTGACTTTCCAGCCAGGGACCATTGACTCACACTTGTAATCCTAGCTACTTGGGAGGCTGGGATCGGAAAGATTGCAGTTTGAGGCCAGCCCAGGCAAATAGTGTATAAGAGCCCATCTCTAAAACAACCAGAGCAAAATGGACTGGAAATATTGCTCAAGCAGTAGAGCACCTGCTTTCCAAGCACAAACCCTGAGTTCAAAACCCCAGTCCCACCAAAAACAAAATTTTGACTTTCCATTTGAAATATGTTTAGAGAACTCCTTCCTCACCATTCTGGTCTTATCATCTACTGTGTGTCCATCTAGGACCCAAGGTTAAGATGGTGAGGAGTCAGGTGGGCAGGCAGAGGTCAGAGTTAGCTTTCCAGTGGGACCTAGATGTCTCAGTACCAAATTACAGTGGCCTAAACAGGGATGTGCAGGAGGAGTCTGGCAGGGTGGAGGGGGGGCAGTGATCCAGCACAAGGGTCAGGGTACTCCTGGGAGAAGCACACACTCCTGTATACTTAAGATACATCATACATGAATGCCACACACCATACACACATCACACACATTCATGTACTCCATGCAGTTTGGGGGATGACTCCAGGAACTCCTGAGAAGATGGCACTGCTTCAGAAGGTGTGCTGTGAACACCTTATGATGTTGTCTCAGGAGTACCTCAGAGAAGATGGAAACTGACCAGCCAGGGGTAGGAGGTGACTGGCAGACTGTAACCTGCAGCTGCTTGGATATAGAAGCTGAGGCCCAGCCCTCCCTGCAGGCTGGCTCTCAGCTGACATGTCCCAAGCCCTTCTTCTTTCTCCTGCCTCTGATGTGAACCCCACTGTGTATCATCCCTTAGATTTCCTGTCCCTTGAAGTCTACAAGCTCTGGGTGGAGGGGTGGGGGTGTGCCACCTTCATACCAGGAAAAGGAGCCTTGTCCAGAGTCCTGTAGATCAAGCAAGGGACTCTTTGGGGAGGCCAAACCACTTACACCATGAGACCCTAGAATCCCTGGGGATTCTAGGAAGACAGCAGTTGGGTCCCCAAGGAGCTGAAGAATGGAGAGGCTTTTACAAACTCAGGCAGGGTGGGACTCTGAAACCTTAGCATGTGCTTGGAGTGGAAACCTGGGCTTTCCCAGCCCTACACATCTTCTATACTGCCATACCTGGATGGCCTGTCTGACCCCACCCAGAAACATACTCCCTATGACCTGCCCATGTTTCTGGCAAGTGCCAGGTTCCTTAGGGGAGCCCAGTCCATTATGGGGCCACACTGATGTGCCTGGGAGTTCTGTATACAGGCAGATCCTCACTTTCCTGACAAGTGATAGTGCTCCTTCCACCAACTGCTAGTTCTTGAGACAGCCCTCCTGTTGCCCACCCTGTGACAAGGAAGAGAGCCATAGCAAGTGAGAGGGTAGTTAAGGAGCAGGGGCTGGAGGTGGGAGCAATGGAACAAAGATGGAAGGAACTCAGAGGCTGAGACCCCTGGACCAGTGGGAGCCTGGGGTGGAGGAGGTGTCTGACATGAGTGTTGCCTGCAGGTGTTGTGTTGACTTTGAATGAAGCACAGCATGCACTATGTGATCCCACCCTGAAAGGTATCCTTCAGACAGGTTTCCTAAGGAAATGCAGTAATTGACGAGATAGTACAGGGGGAGTCCTGAGCAGCGCCTACAAGAAGGCTGACCCCACTGACCCAGAGGCCAGCGGAGACTAGGTTCTAAGGTGGGGGTTAGGTGCTCCATGGGCCAGCAGGGAGCCTGACATTGGATTCTTTGAAGACTGAACAGTGAAATAGGCACTTTAAGAAAGGAAAAAAAGCTCAAACATTTCCTTAAACACTGTATTTCTGGCTATGTTCTTTCCACCACAGGTGAACGTGTACGTGCTAGGGAAGACGTTCCTGCTGTTGGCGAGGGAGCTCTGCATCAATGCACCAGCCATAGGTATGCCAGACTTGGGCAGGTGCTACTGGGCCCCTTGGAGCTCTGTGTTAATGCACTAGCCATGGGTATGCCAGGCTCAAGCAGGTGCCACTTGGCCCCTGGGAGCTCTGCATCAATGCAATGGCTATAGGTAGGCTGAACTCAGATAGGAGCAGTGCTGGGCCTCTGGAAACCAGCATGCCAAGGTGTTTGTTCCAAAGAGTCAGAAGGCCATCAAATCAAAGTGCAAGACCCTAAAGCAAGAAACATCTCCTAGGGGCTGGCTGAGTGGCTCAAGTGGTAACAGCACCTGCCTAACAAGTGTGAGACCCTGAGTTCAAACCCCAGTGCCCTCTCCCCCCGTCACCCCTGCCCACCAAAAAAAAAGTCTTCTAAAATCTGCTGGTAGAGCTGTGGGGTGGGGTGGGGTGGGGCATTATTTCTGGTGCAAATCCAGAAGGCCTACTGCCAGGGCCTGTTACGTGTAGACAGAGGGAAAAGGGCATAATGTATATTGGAAGCCTATCTAACAGGGTTTGAGGAACACAGCTAACTGCAGGTGCCCTGAGGAAGGAAGGACCTCTCATAGGGGTAAGGGGAGCTTCTGGAGATGGATGCTCGCCCAGCCACAGCCTCTTTATATGAGTTTTACCAAGAAGGATCTTCGTGGCCTACTTGTGGCCTTTGCTCTTGACCGTCAAATGTCTCCTCATGGTAAAGAAGCATTACCAGGGTAGAGGACGGAGTATGTTCTGTCATCAACATGACCACATCCCTGGTGCTGGCCAGCAGCTACACACCCTGAGCTAGTGCCCACACCCTCTCCTTAGAGACCACGCCACTGCTGGTGGGGCCGTCTCTCCCTTTGGAAGTTAGGCCGAGGCTTTTCAAGACAATGCAACTGCTGTGGAGTGTGCAGTGGAGGCCAGGCCAGGCCTCATGGAGCTGCCTCACTTACAGTGTACTCAGCAGCAGAACACAACCCACCCCAAATCTGACTCCTGCAATAGGGCTTTGATGCTCTGGAAGGTAGAAGCAGCCTGACACCTGGCTTTTCACAACATCCTAGCCACAGCCCTGGCAAGGAGGCCAGCCCAGACACTGTGCAGAAGCCCCAAGAACAGAAGGCCTTTTCCAGGATGTGATTTGTTTCTAACCATAGAACCAAAGCTTTTTTCTCCAGGATAACAAGCTCTTTTAAGTAGTATGAGAAAGAGAACACCTCAATTCACAACTCCTATAGTTACTTATCTACACATGGCTCTCATTTTGGGAAACCTTTATTATGAAAGTCTACTTAAATAGATGAACTATTTTAAGTGACTTTTCAGCAATTTGGGGTTTCAAGGGATGGTCTCAAGATAAACTTGGGAGCCACTTAGAATCCAGACAGGTGGGAGGAACATCCAATCACTCACAGCTCTTGGGTGCCACTGGGCAGGGAGCCAGGGCCTGCCTTGAACCTGTCTGCCCTCTGGCTTGGGGCATGCACCCCAGTGTACAAGGGATACCCAGAACTTGGCCACAACAGACCCTGGCTGCATGGAGATGGGGCCTGTTCCACAGATGTGCTGATACAAGTAAGCCACGCCTTTAATGGTGTCAGTAAGGTAGTTAGCGGCACATTGTACCTCCCCTGCATTTACTGTGTGCCTCCCAGGAAGGGCCAGGCTGAACGCACCTCTCCTGCCCCTCACAGCCTCAGGCGTAGAAGATAAGTTCTGGGATCTGCCCACCCTGGACCCCAGTCCCATTGGTGCTGTCCGAGGAGCACTGGAACTGGAAGGCCACCTTCCCGCACTGTACTTCGGTCATCCCCTCCTGCCCAAAGTAGCTGAGCTCGCTGCCATCCAGGACAGCACTGGCGGTGTAGAAGGTGTCCTGTTCGACTTGGACTGGGTGCTCAAACCAGACTGGGAAGGTGTTACTGGATCCATCTGACACAAACTTGGTCAGGTTCTGAGCTAAGACCTTTCCCAGCCGCTTGAGTTCTATCTTCACACTGTACTCGGCCTTCCCGGAGCTGGACCCATATAAGCCCAGCCCAGCAATAAACACCCTTCTGTCCACTGCAAACTGGATGCTATCACAGCGCCCACGGTACCGCCACTGGTTGCTGCGATAGGCGGAAGACTGGAATCGGTGGCACCTCTGTGGGGTGAGGCCCTTCCTCTTGGTCAGAGGGAAGTCGAGGAGGGGCTTGTTGGCGGCTGTGTACCACAAGAAGATGTTGTGGGTCTCCTCCAAGGTCAGGATGTCCGACTGAGCAGCACCATTGGCAAACTCCTCCAGGGTCATGGTTGGAATTCGGACCAGATAGAGAGCTTGCCCCAAAACATGCCTCTTGTTCTGTGGGGTGATTGGCAGACCCTGCCTCTTGCACTCTGCCTCAGCCCAGTTCAGGACAGCCTCAAAGACCACAGCCTCCTTGATGTTGAGGGCCTCCCGAGTCACAATTATCTCCAGCGTCTGACGGTCAATTTCACAGAAGCCTTCAGATAGCAGGGCCATCTCAGCCTGTGCATCAATGACCTCCCAGCAACGCTGGGTCAGCTCAGGCTCCTCAAACAACCGGCTCTGGGACAGTAGGACACAGGCGTTTTTGGCTTCCAGACTTGTCTCCAGAAAGTTGACGCAGGCTTTTGCCAAGGCAGGCACTATGTACTTCTTAGCAGCATACAGAGTGGCAAGCACCGTGTCTGCCTCAAGATCGATCTCATCACTGTACATGTACCTGGATAGGGTAGGGACTCTTGTGGGGGTGGGGGGCTGCAAGGACTGGCCTGGAAAGGAGCTCTCCGGCTCCTGTGCACGTGGCCTTTGAGGCTGCAAAGGCCTCCAAGGGCCGTCTGAAAGGAACCACCCATCCTTCCAGCCCAGAGCGGAGCACTTACTTTAACAAGACCAGGAAGGCAGCAGGCTCCACGTCGGGAATGTGGATTTCTGACTTGACTTCTGCAAGATCTCCGTAGAACATGGCATAGAAGACAGAGCTGCCCACGGCCAAAACGTACTGTGGGTGAGAGTCACAGTAAGCCACAGCACTAGGAAGGCACCGGAAGGCTGCGTCCAGCCACTAGCCCGGCAAGGGGACAGGGATGCACCCCTACTTACCTTGTGGGCCGGCACGCGCCTGGCCGCCCCCAGTGGCCCCACGATGAAGTGGACGTCGGCCATGAGCTCGTTGTTGAACATCAGCGCGTTCCTGCAAAGGGCAGAGGCACACGGCTGGTACGGAGCGCGAGCCCGGGCCCGGGGCCGGCGGGGTGGTCGGCGGCGGCTCACCTCTCGCGCAGCGTCGGGTGGAAGGACTGCCAGTTGGGGCTCTCAGGGTTGTTGTTGTCGGGCGCGGGGGGAGCGGGCGCGGGCGGCGGCGGGGCGGGCGCCGGGCGGGGCGGGCTGCGCGGGCTGGCCTTCCTGCCCGTGCCCGCGGCGTTGCTGTTAGCGATGTCGGTGGCGGTAGCGGCGGCGGCCGCACCGGCAGGCGGGTACAGCTCCGCGGCCATCTTCACTGACAGGGCAGCGGGGGCGGCCTCGGTGCTCCTCGGTGCTGCGCCGCGCGCCCTTGCGCCGTGCCGGGGCCTGGGGAGCGGCTCTGCCAGCACCAGCAAGGAGGTGAGGCACTGCGCCACCCGCCCGTGCAGACAGGCCAGCGGCAGCAGCATGGGGCCGCGCGGAGCCTTCGCCCGCACGCACGCACGGAGCTCGCCCCGCACCCGCGGCCTGCCTCAGCCCGCACGGGGCCCACTCCGCCCGGCGCCCGCCCCGCTCCGCCCCGCCCCGCCCCGCCCCGTCCGGAGCTCGGAGCCCGGAGCCTGCGGCCCGGCCGCAGGGGGCGCCGTCCTGCACGTACCAGCTGTGGCGCCGGCGCGTCACCGTGCGTCACGGCGCGCCTCGGTGCGCGCCCAAGGCCCCTCCCCGCCGGGTGTGGGGGTGCCGAGGCCCCGCCCTACCCGGTGCCCGGGTCTAGCAGGCTGCGGCTCTGCGTGGTAGGGGCGGAGGAGGCTCCCAGCCCTCTACCTGCAGGGGCGGGCGTTCCCCGCACTCTCCATTGCTGTAGTCTTTGTAACCCTTTTAGGAGCTCGAGTTTTGGAGAGAAACCTGACGGCTAATGCCACTCGTTGGAAAAAGACTCTAAGCAGCTCGGCGACGCCCTCAGCCCCGTGCTGCCCACGCTGCGAGGCTGCCCCTCTTCTCTTCTTTTGCAGAGCAGCATGTCCTCAAGGCCCATCCATGTTGTAATGTGGCTGAATAAGATTCCCCTGTGTGTGATAACCCATTTACTCGTAGATGTACTCTGGATTGGTTGCATGCATTGACCATAGGGGCGCAAATATACCTTCTAGATCCTGAGTTCAGTTTTTTTGCGTCTTTACCTAGAAGTGGGGTTGCTGAAGTATGTGGGAGCCCTACATTTGGTGTTTTGAGGAAACTTTGCAGTGGCTTTTTCTTAGTGGCTGCACCATTTTGCATGCCACCAACTGTATGCACAGGTTGGTTTCTCCTTGCCAACACTTGTTATAGTTTTCTGGGTTTATAATGGCCATGATAATGGATGTGAGGGGGTTGTTATCTTGTGATTTGATTTGCATTTCCCTGGTGATTAATGATGTCGAGCATCTTTTCATTTGCATGTCTTTGGTGAAATGTCTGGTCAAGTCCTTTGCCCATTTTCTTCTTGTACCCTCATTTACTCTTTATTTACTGAGGTTGAACTCTGAGACTTGAGCATGCTAGACAGGCCCCGTACTACCCCAGCTCTGCCCCTTTTCTAACCAGTTTTTTTCTTTGCCATTGAGTTTTTCCAGTGTTTTGGATGTTAACCTCTAATCAGATATATGGTTTGCAGATACTCTGCCATTTTGTAGGTTACCCCTCCCTCCTTTCCTTCCTTCTCTTCCTTCCTTTCATGTTCATCTAGTTTTACTTTTGTTGAATCATTGCCAACAACAGTGTCCTAAACCTTTCCCAATTTTTTTTAGGGGATTGATAGTTTCAAGCCCTCTGCTTAATCCTTTAATCTGTTTTGAGTTAATTTTTGTGTGGTACAAGATAAGGCTCCATGTGGAAATCTAATGCTCCTCATCTGTTTGCTGAAGAGCCTATCCTTATCGTTCGCATCTTGTTGGGACCTTGTCAAGGATCATGTGACCTGCATGCAAGGGCTTTGTTCTGTCTCATTGGTCGGTGTGTCTGTCTTTATGCTAGTACCATTCTGGGTCTTTTAATTACTTATTTATTACTTATTTTTCTTTATTACCCTTTTGCCTACTTTAAATAATTCTGTTAACTTTTAATTTTCTGTTACTTAACTACTCAGTTCATTACTTTGTTTCATCCTTACTTATAAAAAGTGCTTAAGTCTATAGTGTTATCTAAATGATTGTTCTTTAATTTCCCAGTAGTGTTTGGAGTGAGGGGACTGTTTATGTTTTTTCTTTTTGACTAATTTGTACAGTTTTTTTTATTACACTTGAGTTTTTATTGCAGTTATAGGATAAAGAATATAAACTATTTACTAAAACCAAGCTTATAGTAATGTTTTCCATTCCCCCTTCAGTATTTTTTCCTAAGGTCTGTCTCAAATTTGAGAGAGCCATTGTAGTTTTGAAATGGCTATTTCTAGTGCTTTCTTTTTTTTTTTTAATTTTTTTGGTAGGACTGGGGTTTGAACTCAGGGCTTTGTGCTTACAAAGCTGGCACTCTACCACTTGAGCTCCACCTCCTGTCCATTTTGTTCTAGTTATTTTTGAAGATGGCATCTCAAGAACTGTTTCTCCCAGCTGGCCTTGAACCTTGATCCACCTATTCTCAGCCTCCCAGATAACTAGGTTTACCAGTGTGAGCCACCAGCCTAGCTTTTACCAATATTTTCCAACATAATTTTCTATTTCAAGGACTAGTGTCAAAGACCTGAATGTTCAGAATGAGATCTTTTATTAGCATGCCTCTGATCCCTAGTTCTGATGGCTTGTGTTTTATTGAAAATAAGATTATATTAGTACAATTTCTTATTTTTTCCTAATGGTATCTTAAAGGGGGAAAAAGGTGGAAATGGGTTATAGCTCCAGAATCAAACCTGAGTCCACTCTGTGGTGGCCATGTGGCTTCTTCATGCCCTTTGCTCACCTGGAAAGTGGAATGGGGACCCACAGCTGCTGAATTGGAGACTTGTGTGGCTGCTATGATCCTGAGGGTGCAACACAGCTTGGAGCCACTAGTGCATAGCCAAGCAGTCAGTGTGGGGTATAGGTCAGGTCCGTGAGAGGGTTTTGTTATGTTGTTCATGATGGTCTCAAACTCCTGGACTCCTGCCTCAAGAGCCTCCTGCGTCAGCCCCCAAGTGCTGAGACCACAGGTGTGAGCTGCAGGGGTGGATCCCTTACAGGATCTCATAGGGGTTCTGGGATCTGAGGTCAGACACATGGTAGAGGCCAGTTGGACATTTGGGAGGGGGCCACTAGGTGTTGGTGAGCACTCAGTGCTCCTGCTTTGCCTCTCCTGCCGTCTTTGGAAAATGAAGTGAACTGTCCTGATTGCCTCCTTCCCTGTGCCTCTAAGCTCTTTGTGACCCACTGTTGCCCTCCCTTGTCATCTACCAGTGCTTGCCTGCTTCCAGCTGTGGCTGTCTCCTGACTGCCTCCTCCTCAGGCCTGAGCCTGAGTGGCCCTTTTTAGTGAGGTTCTTTTGGATAATGCCCCTGGATCTTCTCCATCCCTGTGAATTGCTTTCTTCAGTGCACTTCAGGCATCATACTAATGAGCTGGATTCAAGTAACTTGGTTACATTTGCTGGCTCCAGTTATGTGCTCCATAAATCTGTGTCTTCTCAGCACCCAGCAGAGTGCCAGGCACCGATAAGGAGCAGTTGTGTTTATGTGTGCACATGCATGTGTGTACTGCCTATGACTCTGAAAGCACTTTGGTGCCCACCAGTGTACCTCTTACAGTGAGCATGAGCTGAAAGCCACCCAGTAAATTGAGAAGGTGGTTTGTGTGCACAGCCCACACCTGTCCAGCTCTCTAACCTGTCCTTGCGCTATGAGAATCCTGGAGAACACTGAGGAGGCTGCATTCTTAGAGGGAAGGCTGCTGGATGGAAACTCCCCTCACTTTGCTGTGCATGCCCTGAGCAGTGGCATCCTGGTTGCAGGAGGGCAGCAGCTCCCCTGGGTGCAGTGAACACGCTGCTCCAACTGAGTATCAGAGAGGCTGACCCCCAGGGGCCTGTACATGGGTGAGGGTTGCCCCAGCTGTGGGGATGGTGCCAGGCAGTTACTGAGTACATGTACATTCACACTGAGGTGGTATATCTGCTGCAGACCCGTGCCTGTACATTCCACGCTTTGCCCACCTACTGGAGTTTGGGGAGAAGAACCATGAGGTTTCCATGACAGCCTTGAGGCTCCTGCAGAGGATGAAGAGGGACTGGATGCACACTGGCCGGCGCCCCTCGGGTCTCTGTGGAGCAGGTGCAACAGGGGTCCCCGGGCCTGCCCCTGGGTGGGCAGCCTCCATTTGGCAGTCACACTGGCTGGACATGATGGATATCATCATGACATTTTGTACCCTGATACTTTTCTGTGTGTGTGTGTGTGTGGTACTGGGAATCAAATCTAAGGCCTCCTGCATGCTAGGCAAATGCTGTATAACCAGATCTCTGCCTTGATCCTTGAGCACTTAAGCCCATGGGTTGTGGATTGTGTTTTGAGAGTGGGCCTTGCAATAAGAGTTGTCTGCTGTGCTCAGTACTGATCTGGCTTGCAGGCTCCTCAACCCTTAAGGACATCTACTTGCTCCCCTATTGGCCTCTGCAGGTCCTGAGATAAGGTACAGGACCTCGGAGGCTGAGGCAACCAATCAGGAGCTCTGACCTTGACCCTGGCCTGTCCACTTATGATGAATTATCCACACTTGGTGTGGTAAGCAGTGTGGCATCATATGAGATGCTGAGTCCTGGCTGCAAAGGTGCCCCTAGGCCCAGCAGGGTGGTCATTCCTGTCATACCTGTGAGGACCTTCAGGTTGCTGCTGCCACCATGGTCCATGTGCTTTACTTTCAGTGCTTGGACATGGTCTTGTCTGTGGTGGTGTAGACACGGTCCCCTGCCCAGAAGAGGCCCCTGGCCAGCAGGGCCCTGTTCCTCCTCTGATATTCCTCTTCTCTTAGAATGCCAGGTAACAGCTTCTGCAATTAGCTAGTAGCAGGACTAATGCTGCAGTTTCCATTTTAAATGATGTCCACATTTGTGCTGCAGATTCCAAGCCCCCTCAGTCTGCTACCACTTTGTTAACATGTGTCAGCCAGCACCTGTGACCTCATACCCTTATCTTTCCCAACCTAGGCTGTGTTCTCAGAATCCTCAGCTCCTGTTGCAACCAGTGTTCCACACACAAGTTGCCTCTAAGTTAGCTTGTGTGCTTTGAGAGGTTCCATGAAGTTCTCAAATGTTCCATTTTAATTCTCCTTATACTTTTAAAGTGGAGTGTGATACAGCCACAAGCCAAAATGAGATGGGAAATATCATTGTTTAGGAGTTCGAAGTACCATGTATCTGTTTAGGGAAGATGGATACCACCTTGTCCCCCTCTGTTCACCATTAGAAGCTGTGGCACCAGGTGAGGTCACTGTTCTGGTGGCATACACGTCTTGCCCAGGGTCAGCCCTCACCCTCTGGGGTTACAACAAGGAATTCTATTTTCTTAGTTCCCATTTCTGGCTGAGTTTTCCATGGATCCCTCTTGTTCTCATGGACTCCTCTTTTTCTTTTCTAGCACTTCTAGTTGCAGCCAGAATGCATGACTTCCGGAGAACTGTCAAAGAAGTCATCAGTGTGGTCAAAGTATGTGAGTCCACACTACGGAAGAGGTAGGTGCTCTAGTTCACCATATGTTGGCCACATGGGTGACACTGCTCATTGGAGTTGCCACTGTCCCCACAGGGCCACCCTATGAAGGCACCCTATCAATCCCATTCTGTTGTAAGTCAAGGTGGAGCATGGTTTGTAGAGATGCCCTGACTCGCAGGTGCCAGGAAGCAAGCAGAAAACTGCTCTGATGCACAAGAGGCCCTTGTTCAGTGTGGCCCATTCTGGACTTTGAGAGCCTGAGGAAAGCGAGAATCAAACAAATGTCACCATATCGGTTTAGCAGTGGCATGGTTGGCCAAGCAGGGAGTCAGTTGGGTGGACAGGGCAGGGGCTTTGTATTCCTGCTTTGGCAGCTGCTGACGGGTTACTCATAGCTCAGCTAGAACATCCCTGACCAGACACTGAGCAGAGTGCTTACAGACTTGTAATTGCTACTATGTGTGCATCCCAAGTCTGGACTCTTGATGGCTGTGTTTCAGCTGAGGTCATCTGTTACAGCAGCTTCCAGCAGCAGGTGGAAAATTATTTTGCTTTAGTCAACCTCTAATTCTCTTTATTTTTTTCTCTCTTTAAGTTAGTGTATATTAATTGTACAAAGGTATCTCATTGTGATATTTCCATACATGCATATAATGTACTTTGATCAAATGCACCCCTTCATTATTCTTTCTTATACCCCCACCCCTTTTAAAAATAATTTTAATCTGTTTTATTATTCTGTTTTCATGCGTGCATATGAAACGCTTCCATCACATTCACATATAGCCCTCCTTTGACTCCTCCCCCATTTAATTCTTTTTAAAAACTTATTAACCAGGTGCAGTGACTCATGCCCTATAATCCCAGCTACTTGGGAGTCATGGTTTAGGGGCAGCCCAGTCATAAAATTATTGAGACCCCATCTCAACAAAAAAGCCAGGCATGATGGTGCATACCTCTGAGGGTGGCATAGGTAAGAGGATTGTGGTCCAAGGGCAGCCTAGCCAAAAAAAAAAAAAAAAAAAAATCCTTTTTGCTTTAGTCATTTTTCAGATAAGGTCTATCTAAAAAATGACTAAAGCAAGAAGAACTGGGGGGTGTGGCTCAAGTGGTAGAGTACTTACTTGCCTAGCAAATGTAAGACTGCAGTACTACCTCCCCACAAAATAAAGTTCTCCTGTTAAGCATTTTTGTATAATATATAAAGGTATTGATAAGATTTTAAAGTGTTAGTAGTTGCAGAAATGCAGAATCCTTGTCCAGGCTGCGGGCAGAGGGAGATTCTGGCTTTGCCTCCTTTGCAGGCCTCTAAGTCTTCCCCCAGGACCCAGGGATGGACGTGTGAAAGCCGTGAGGGTGCTATAGGCTTTTCTCTCAGGGACCTGAGCTCCTGGTAGGATGGGGTGGGGAGAAGTTGTTGGAAAGGGACTTGGCCTATGGCAGTGGCTGGTGCGAATAGGTTCTTGTGGGGGAATCTGCTTGCAGACATAGTTTTAAGTGGGTTTGCAGGGCACTGGCCCCCTGCTCACTAATCTGTTTTAGGCTGACAGAATTTGAAGACACCCCCACCAGTCAGCTGACCATCGACGAGTTTATGAAGATAGACTTGGAAGAGGAATGTGACCCTCCCTCGTACACAGCTGGACAGAGGAAACTGCGGATGAAGCAGGTGGCACCGATGCTCACTCCCCTGCACCCTCTCATCAGCACTTGGGTTTCTAAGAGCATTTGAGCTCCGATGTTTCATGTCTGTTGTTCCAAGCAAGTGGCTTGGCAACGTAGGTCCAATTCCATCTATGTTCTGGCAGGGCCTCAAGAGTGAGGGGTCTTGAGGACATGCTGAGTATGGAGCCTCCCAGCATTATCCTTACTGGAGCTGTTTTCCAGCCTCTCACCCTCCAGCCCACTGAGCCCATCCCTACAGCCATGCTTCGGTTCTGGTTTGCTCCACAAAGCTAGAATGTAAAGTGAGTTCCACAAGCAATGTGCGCTTTGGAACACACCAAAAGTCTGAGAAGGAATAAAGTTCCTGTTCCTGCCCCAAGGCAGCAACTGCTGCAGCTGTATCTCCTTTCAGTATGTTGTCATTGGGTTCGTAGCCTTGATCTCACTGGCCAGGACTGCCTTCAGCCAGGTGGGGCTGAGTCTGGGGGAGTGCAGTAGGCGCACTTCTAGACCTGGGCAGGGGGCTCTGCTTTCTGGGTTCTTGGGGAGGGCTGCCTCTCTCCAGGGCCAGATGTGACATTGTCTGGAAGGTAGGGGCCTGAGGGTTGGGCCAGGCCCATAGCTCACTCCAGCCTTCCTCCTGTGAGGCATGCATCCACGACATCCCATGGCCTAGTTGACGGTGAGGCCCTCAGGCATTGGACTCACCAATGTCCTCTCTTCTCTTTCAGCTTGAACAAGTCCTGTCAAAAAAACTGGAGGAAGTTGAAGGTAACTAACAACATTGCTACACAAATGCTTCAGTTTGTTAGAAAAGTTGACTTATGCTTACTTTTTGCTTTTATCTCATTACTTCAGGTGAAATATCCAGTTATCAGGATGCCATTGAGATTGAACTAGAAAACAGCCGGCCAAGGGCAAAGGGGGCCCTTGCCAGCCTGTCAAAGGATGGTAAGTCCTCCCTACCATCATGGGCTCCAGAACTCTAGGCTAGCAACCCTGAGACCTCCCAAACTTGCTGACTCTCAACCTTGCCCCTTCCCCTACCCTTTCCATGGCCACATAGTTCTGCATCTCTGGGTCCCATGTCCACCCATGGCTACTGGTCATCTTCTGGTTCTGACACACTGAACTGAGTGTTCAACTATCTCCTGGGCATCTCTTGCCTCCCCCCCCCCCGCCCCGCCCAGCTCCAGACCATGTCTCTGTGCACTTCCTCAGCACCTGAGTCTCTCTGTCTTTGGCTTCTAGAGGTCAGTCTCTCATTTCCTAGCTTCAGCTGCACTCCAAGGCCCTGAGCAGTCTGACTGCTCAGGCTGCATGTGGGGCTGTGAACGATAGCTGTGGTGCAGCTGGTGCTCGGTGCTCATACCCTTGTGCTGCCCATGCACCTCCAGTTCTCACTGTGGGTCTCTTGGAGCTGCTGTGGGCGTTTGTGTTGCTAGACCACTCTCTTTTGGGCTGTGCAGAAGGAGAGCACAAGTGCCTGCAGCCTTCCTTGACATTCTGGGCAATGTGGGATGCACATTCTTTGTTCCCTGTGATACCTGTCTGTATCTTGGGGTTGGGGGTGGGGTGCTGTCTGCCTGTCAAGCCAGCACTGTGTGTTGCCACTGAGTGCCACCTTGCCAGGCATGGAAGTCTGGAAGGAAAGATGAGCATCTCCTCATGCCTCCAGTTTTTATAGACACTTGTTTTGTTTCACGTGAACTTTAGGACCACCTTTTTGCCCCTCCCCAGCCTGCCCTCTGCTTCATCCATCAGGTTGGAGAAAGCCACTGAGCTTGTCTTTCCCTGCTGCCCCCTTCTCGTCCTGAGAGCAGGCATCTCTGCCTGTCGACCCTCTGCTCTGCATGCTAACAATTCTTCGTCCAGGTCCTGCTGCCTTCTTTGTGGCTGTTGTAAGTGGCATTTTTCCTCTTGGTCCCACAACCGGTGACTGCTTGCTGCTTACTGACAGTAACTGTTTCTGTGTGCTGAATTTGCTTCTACGTGTGAGGAATTCTATTGTCGCTTTTAGTAGTTTTCAACTTACTGGGTTTTCTGAGTAATTAACAATGTTACTTACATACATTGGTTCTACTGCTGCTCTTTACCAGTTATTAGGTCCTGAATTTCTTTCTTGAGTCTGGTGCTCCCTGCCCTTATTACCTCACTGAATCTCAAGGCAACAGGGGGCATGTCCCCACCTAGCTCTTGCAAACCAGCTCTACACCTGGGAGACTTGCCCTTGCCTGTTACATTGAGGAAATGCCCATCCATGTGTTGTCACAGAGGGGTGTTATCTCAGCAGCGAGCATTTCAGATGTCTTTAGGGTCTGAGAAGGCCACGGAGTTTCTGCCATCTATGAATGCAGTCCATTTTCTTGACAGTCCCACTGATGGGCCTGCCCTGTTCCTAGGAGGCAGCACTTGATGGTAGTGGTCACCCTTTTCCTGCCCATCCATTGGCAAAATTGAGCACAGTTGTATTTTATGATTCTTTGACTTCTTTGTGTCCTAGTTTTCTTTTTAAATCATTTTTTCATTTGCAGTTTTGTTTTCTGGCTTTTCCTGGCTAGGTTAGTGGTTGCCCATTCAGCTGGCCTCTACATTTGTTCATCAGTTCTGCTGCCTTCCTGTTTGCTGTGTCAGCAGTTCTGCCTTACCTCACCTTCCTGCCAGCTCTAATCACTCTATCCTCCAGATCACCTCTGTCAACTGGTGTTGGTTCAGGAGCTGTCCTTAAGCACTGTTATTCTATTCACTCTTCCTCATTTGTGTTAGCTGTGAAGTTCTGGGGTGGGTGGACTCTTACGTGTCAACTTCTCCTTTTTCTCTGTTTTCCTCCTGGATGCAGTTTCTGGGCACACAGTGGCCATGGCACTTGGGAAGGAGGTCCCTGTATCCTAGGTAAAGCTGTGCCACTTTCTCCATCAGTGCTTACTGTTCAACCTACTGAGAGGATGCTTGCTGTCCTGCAGGGTGGAGGTTGGTGGGGGTGAGACCTGCTTAGGTGGCCTCTAGAGGTACCTCTTTAGGCATCAGTTCTGTTGATGCCCTCAGCCGGGTCCTGGGCCAGCTCAGCCTAGGGCAGGTGTGGCCTATGTGAAGGGTGCCGCTTTAGGTCAGGACTGAGCTGCCTACAGCAACCCTGACCCCTGTGGAGATGAGCCTCACTCCACACTATCAAGAAGGATTAGCACTCCAGGTAGTCTTCCTGCTCTTCCCTCTCAGAGGAGCACCTGTGAAGCAGGCCCTCCCCTTCCTGTATCACGCAGAGCTAACCCTGGCTCAGCTGAAATGGGGAGGTGCTTTCATATGTCTTTCAAGTTCAGCTCACCATCTGGTAATTCCTCACAGGTTTTGGGGTGTGGTGGACACACAGCAAGCAGCACGTGTTTAGGAAGCAGTTTTGGCTGTTGAGTGTTGAGTGTGGACACACCTGTGAAGCCACAGTCAGAGTGACACACAGACCTGTCGCTGCCTCTGTGTCCTCATGCCCTTTGCGATGCACCTCACCTTCCCTGCCCCTGCCACTTGGCTGCTTTCTTCCACTGAATCAGTGGTATTTTCTGGAGTTTTATACAAGTCTTTTATACACATAATATGCATTCTTCTTTTTTTTTTTTGACCTCAGAATGATTGTTTTGAGTCATCCCTCAATAATTTGGTCCTTTTTATTATGGTGTTAATTGGCCATCAATGTACTGAGGTTGTTTATCTTCATATATTGTATTTTGAACTATTAAAATTAAACTCTGCTGGACCCTTGCGTGCAGTCTGTGGACATTTATTTCTTTTGTCTTGGGCACAGAGTGGAATAGCTGGGTCTGGAAAGGCAGTATTTAAGTCTTTAAGAGACTGCAAGCGGTTTGCTCAGCAGACGAGAGCCCAGCTCCTCTGTGTCCTCTTGACCATTGATACCACCATCTGTAGTGTTGGTCCTGGTTGCTCTGTGGGCCATGAAGGGGCAGCCCCTGTACTTTGGCTCTGCTTACCTCCCTTTTCCCAACATCTGCCATCTGAGCACCTTTCCTTGCTGTTCTGTCATTCAGTGTCCTCTGTCTTGATATGTCACATTTTTTTTTTCCTGTTTTTTTAGTTGGGCTATGAATTTAGTTGGGCTCATGGAGTTTGTGAGCTCTTTACATATTATAGATAAAGTCCTCTGCCAAATGTGTGACCTGCAAAGAAGCCTGTGGTCATCTTCATCATCTTGACAGTGTCTTTCAAAGGGCAGACATTTGTGATTCTTTCAAAATCCATTTGATCAATGTTTTATGGGCTCTCCTTTTAGTGTCATGTCTAGATGTTTTTGCCTGACCTGAGGTCACAAGCATCTTCCTTTTTCCTGACACTCTTAAGTTTCTAGCTTTCACACTTAGCCCTAGCGTCCATTTCCTGTGAGCTTTTGCATAAAGCATGAGGAATGAATGGTCAAGTCATTCCTGTGCATAAATCCCCCAGCACTGTCTGCTGGCAGGACTTTCTTTGCTGCAGAAAGACCCATTTTTGGTGATGTTTGTGTTCTCAGTTACTTTGCAGTTGACAGGAGTGTTCCTGCCACAGTGGGTTCTCTGGCTTTTTGCCTGGCTGACAGGTGATCTGCGCATCGTGTGTTCCTAGGCTCTGCGGAAGACAGCACATCCAGCCCATTGGGTGAGGAGGACGCAGAGGATGAGGAGCTAGAGGCTGCCGCCAGCCACATGAACAAGGACTTTTACCGGGACCTTCTGGGTGGCGGTGGTGGCGGTAGCTCAGAAGCGGAAGAAAGCACAGAGGGGGGCAGTAGGCCCCTGGCCCTGGAGTCCCTGCTTGGCCCCCTGCCCACAGCGGCCAGCCTGGGCATCTCCGACTCCATACGCGAGTGCATCTCCTCCCCGAGCCTGGACCCCAGTGAGTGCCCTAGGGCCCACGGCTTGGTGGTCTAGTACACATGGTCCTTCTTGTGGAGTGGGTGGAGCCCTGCGTTTCATCTGAGAGGAGTGGTGTTCTGGAAGGGCTGGCGTAGGTAGGCTATGTGGCAGATCAATGGTCTCCAGTAAGGAGCTGAATGTGTGATGACACCCCAGAATACCAGCAGGTCCTGTCACCATCACTGGGGCCCTCCACTGGCCGAAGGCTCCCTCCTGCCCTGGAGGCCCTAGCTGACTTGTGGCCTGTATACCTGGGTTTGAGTAGCTGCCATGCAACTGGAAGCACTGATGGAGCCTAGAGTCCTGCAGGTGGTAGAAGCATCATTACTAGGCTCCTTCCCTGATGCTGTAGCAGGAAAGTCTGGCCTGGGCATCTCCGGTCAGGGCGTCACCAGCTCAGCTTCAGCACCATGGGAACGAGGGATCCTGAGAGGAAACCTACTGCTATTCACCTCCCCCTCTGCCATTTTTTTTTTTTTTTTTTTGGTGGTACTGGGGTTCAAACTTAAAGTCTTATGCTTGCTAGGCAGGTGCTCTACCATTTAAGCCATGCCCCAGCCCTTGTTTTGCTTTAATTATTTTTAGGATAGGGTCTCCAGTTTATGGTCAGGCTGGCCTGGAGTGCAGTCCTTCTATTTATGCTTCCCACATAGCTGAAATGACAGGCATGTGCTGCCTCATCCAGCTTTTATTGGTTGAGATGAGGTCTTAGGAACTTTTTACTTAGGCTGGCCTCTAACTGTGATCCCCCTAATCTGTACTTCCCAAGGAACTAGGATTACATGCTTGAACCATCTCACCCAGCCCCTTCTCCTTCCTTAAAACATCACCAAAGTGGGCTGTAGGGAACAGCAGGGATGCGGTGGCTCTGAAAGGTGGTCTGGCCCTGTCCCTGTTCTCAAGCCCTCCTGGCCAGGTGCTGGAGTGCATCTTCTGTACATGGGTTCTCTGTGTGGTTGCCACTCAGTCACTACAGAGACATTTCCCATGCACACCCAGGCCAGGTATACCCAGGACACCATATGCCTGCTTGTGAAGGAGCCTAGGCAGTTTACACAGAGCTCTGTGTAAAGCATATGTGCAAAGGCTTTTGGCAGCCTAGCACAGTGGCCCTGGAGCAGAGCCAAGGGAGCTGGGACAGTGGGACAGACCTCAGAGTGTCTTCATGGGTGGTTCTGATACTGAGGAGCCACCCCAGATTCTTATCCATGAAAGATGAAGTAGAAGAGCAACCCAGATGGCCTGAGAGTGTGGGCTGGAGTTAGCTGATCTGGCTAGGGGCATTGGGCAAGGGGTTGGGAGAACTGGGACTGTCTGACCCCAGGTTGTGCAGACTGTTCATGACCATACTGGGGCAGGAAGGGGGCAGAAGGTTCCAGAAGCCTAGACTCCTGGACTCTCCCTTATGTCCACCCCAGGTCTTCTGGCCTGGCAATGAGGCAGCAGCATGCCCAGACCAGGCCTCCCGGCCATACCCTGGCAGTCTTTCCTTCCAGGAGCACCTTGCCTGGCCCTTGCTTTGGGTCGGTCATATGCTCCCTGTCAGGGCCAGAGAGCCTGTGTCTTGTCTGCAGAAGTTCATTTCTTATTCCACAGCATGGGCGTATTGGGACTTCCTTTGTAGCCTCAGTCTAGCATACTGTTTTCTCACGTAGTACTCTGATGTCAGTGCTGTCCCCTGTGGATTCAGAGTGGACATGTGACTGGAGCCATGACTTGCTGGTCAGAGGAAGAGGCTCCTGTAACCCCTCAGACCCAGCCCTGAGTTCCCATTGCCAGGTGTCTGTGCTTGTCTGATGAGACTGCCCCTAAGTGACACTGACATGGTACTTCTCTCTAGAAGATGCCTCAGGGGATGGTGAGCTGGACCTCAGTGGCATCGACGACCTTGAGATCGACAGAGTAAGTGATTGCTTCCAGTGCCTTTCCAGGAGGTGGTTGGCTTCTGTGGAGGTCAGGGTGGGGTTGGCCTCCCAAACCTGGGGCCTGTCACTCGTTTTTGGCCTCTCTGGGCTTTGTGGCCTTCCGTGGGCATCCCCAGATGCTCCCTGAGAGAGAGTGGTCTTAGGGCAGCACCCATGCATATCCAGACCCTGCCTCCTCTACTCCCAGCTCTGCCAGGGTGGCCTCAGCCACCGCATACCCTTCCTGCTGGAAGCCTGGGCCAGTCTCTGGGGCAGGCTCCTATTTGGAGGATTCTGAGCTCTTTACCTGACCTTTGTTGCCATTGGGTCATCTCATGGGACCCGGAGTACACACTAGCTCCCTCAGTTTATCTCAGTGGCACCCGTCCTATAGGTCTTCTCCTCCTGATCTTGTGCCTGAGACTGCCGTTAGCTCCTAAGTTGGCAACATACCCCAGCTTGGTTCCTTTGTGGAACCTATGCCCCCTGTACTCTGGGTCCTGTGAGCCAGGATTCTGGTTCCTGGCTATGGTACAAGTTTGGCTGGAAAGGTCAAAGGAGTGACAGGTTACTACTGGAATAGAGGCTCATCCACATTTCCCCTTCCTGTAGTGATTAATGCATGTAAATGGGCAATGTACTTGGTGGTGAGAGCTCTTACTGTGCCCTGAGTACAAAAGCTCAAAGCTGAAGCCACCTCACCATGCTTTGTGCAGTACATCCTGAATGAGTCGGAAGCCCGGGTGAAGGCTGAGCTGTGGATGCGGGAGAATGCAGAGTACCTGCGGGAGCAGAGGGGTAAGCACCCATTTGCCATCCACCCGGGCCCCAGGGCATGGGCCCTCATTGACACTAACCACGTTACTTGACTTCTAGAGAAAGAAGCGAGAATAGCGAAAGAGAAGGAGCTTGGCATCTACAAGGAGCACAAGGTAGGAGCCTCTGATGGCCCAGGACCCCACACTGCCATCAAGTGTCTGGGCTGATAGGAGGAAAGTGTCTCTGGAATGTCCCCTTCCCTGTGACCACAGGGCCCTGGGGCCCAGGACAGGCAGCAGGAGCCGTATGCTTTGGACCCCAGACCCATATCCCTGGCTGCCAGATTTCCCTGTGTTGGCAACCTGCACTGGAGGTCTGTAGTTTGGCTCCTTCTCAGATGTCCCCATTTTTGGGGTCAGGTTCCCAGCTCAGGTACAAGGGCAGACTGAGTTGAGACTCATGGATGATACAGAGGTCCCTGGACTTGAGTTCTTTGTTGAGGACATAAGAGACTGTTTGTCTTTCTTGATGACCTAGGCAAGTCTGACAGTGATGCCCTCCCTGCCCTGCCCTGCTGGCCATGTTTATAACTTGGTTTAGCAGCATACTCTGTTGCCTGAACAGTGACTCCAGCCTCCAAATGGTGCCTTTGGGAGGGGTTGAGCCTCAGACTGAAGCTGCAAAGAGAACCTCAATATACCCATGATGTGGCATAAGTCTCTAGCCAGGGCTTCTCAGCAGGTGAAGCCTTCTGTGCAGGTGGGCCACAGCTGCAGCTCCAGAGGAGAAGGCAGGTTGCAGGTCAGTGACTCACAGAGAGCATTACTTTTATGTTTCAATCAAGCCTAAGAAGTCCTGCAAACGTCGGGAGCCCATCCTGGCCAGCACAGCTGGGGAGGCCATTGAAAAGATGCTGGAGCAAAAAAAAATCTCCAGCAAAATCAACTACAGTGTACTCCGGGACCTCGACAGCAAGGGTGGGAGCAGCCCACAGAGGGAAGACACGCGGCCTGTGGAGAGGGCCAGTGCCAAGAAGCTGTCACGGAGGAAAATGGCAGCCAGCAGGAACGGGACTGACCCTGGGACTACAATGGGGAAGAGGTATTATCCCATCCCCTCCAGGCGGGTTGAGGGCAGGAGGTAGAGGATCGCAGAGGACCAAGGCCTTGGACCTCTTCCGTTAAGGGCCAGCTGGTACCTCAGGAGCACCTAAGAGCCACACTTGTTCCACTGCATGCTGGGAATTGATAGGCCATCTCCAGGTGTGGGTATGGAGGTGTCCTGACTCACTTTGCCTGTGGAGCCCTGAGCTAAGGGGGCCTTTGGCAGTATCAGGGTCTGTTCTGTCCTCAGAAGGTGATGGGACGCTTAGTGAGGACAGGCCAGTTCTCTAGCCCTGCCCTCTGCCACTCCCCTGTTATGCACCAAGGCTGTGTTGCTGGCTCTGCCAAGAGGGAGGGAGGGAGTAGGGAAAGGAGGGAGAGCCAACCACTCCTGGACAAATAGGGTATGGATAGAGGAGGTATGCCAGCAACCACAATGACACTTCCTGATGGGGAACAGGAGCCAGTCAAGGGCCAGTATGCTCTATACCCAGCATCGCTCTGCAGCTCAGCAAGGTGGATAAGCTGCGTTCAGTCCCTTTGTACATGGCCTGCTATTGGGTGGTGGCCATAAGCATTCCTGATGAGGTCACAGAATGCTGGTGAGGTGTACCCCTGACCATGGAAACAGTCAAAGTGCCCAGTGAACTTAGCATCCACTTTCCTGGAGCCTCCCTGTGGAGTGCTGCTTCATTGGTGTCTGTGCTCAGAAAGGGAGAGAGGTTGGAAAGGCTTTTATTTCAAGTGGAAGCAAACATCTTTTCATGTGCCCTCGTTTTGTTGCTTCCATTTTGCGGGGGGTGGGGAGGGGTTTGTTTGTTTTTCTTTTTAAAAATATGAAACCAGCCAGGTGTGATGGTACATGCCTATAATCCCAGCACTCAGGAGGTAGATGCAGGAGGATGGCAAGTTTGAGGCCAGCCTAGGTTGCACAGTGAGACCTTGTCTCAAAACCAAAAACAAAAGATAAACAAAACAAAAAAATCCAGTCCAATATAAAACTAGTGTTCTGTGAGAGGTCCACTTACCAGCGTGGCCTCTAGCTTCTAGGGTCGGTGTTATGCCCGTGAAGGCCTCTTCTGTGTCTAGAGTGTGAGGAAATCTGTCATGTTTCCTCCTAATGTTTTTATGATTTCATTTTTTTAATATCATTTCATTTAAAAAAAATTTTAATAATACCTAGAACTTATTTTGGCAAAGGAGTGAGATGAGGTCCACAAGAGTATTTCCAGGTGGATGGCTGTGGATGGGGAGCTTCTCTCTAAGAAGCCCCACCCGTGATGCTGGCTCAGCTTTTTTTGGGTCCTGTTTGGTCTCAGCTGTCTCCTGTCAACACATACACCATCACTGCACTGTTGGTTGCTCTACTTGGCAAAGCATGGTAGTGTGTGTTGGCCCAGTCTCTCAGGAGAGCATTGTCTGTGGCCTGTTGTTTTTCCTTGAGCTGAGAGTCATGTCTGGGCCAAGTCTTTCCCCTGCGCTTTGACTCCCTTGTGCAGTGGGGAAATTCTTGCAAGGTTCCCCTCACCCACTTGGGGGCACAGTCATCCCTGAGTCTCCTGGAGTCCCAGGCCCACAGGCATTTGTGTCTCCCGAAGGGTCTTTCCACGATGTCTTCCTTCTGCTTCTGTGCCTGAGTCCCTACATCCGTCTTGTTCCTGGAACCTTATGGACCTCCTGCTGTTCATGAGGACTTCCTTTGCCCTTTGCTGTGCACCATCAGCAATGGTGGGAGGAGTGTCTGTGGCTGCTTTAGGGTTCCTCTGAGGGGGTGTTGGGTTTCTTGGCTGACCTCAGCCTCTCCGTATGGTTGCATGGCTTCTCTCCTTCAGATTACTGTGGTGAGTCCTGGGCATGATTGTGTTAGACTGTGAGGAAATCTGTCATGTTTTATATCCCCTTCTTGTGCATGTAGTAAGTGAGGTGGGGCAGGTCCAGGGGCTCCTAACCCCTGACCTGGCCATCCTGAAGGCACCACTGTTACTCACTGCAGCCACAGCACGGTCATCACCTATCTGCTTGCAGCTGGACAGGGGGTGTAGAAAGGCTGTGGTCCACACCTGAGCACTCACAGGTCCAATCTGAAGTGGGGTTTGGGCCCTGGCTTATCCTCCCCTTCCAGCCCAGCCTCTGTCAGCACCGGGAGAGTCCTGTCCCAGTGCAGTGCTTCTGAATGGCCTTTGTGGCTATTCAACCCACTGGCTAGCAGGCCCTGGATGTGTGTGCATGCTGCTTCCTAGATGGGAAGTCTGTTGACCTTCCTGAGTGGCCAGGATCAGAGTTTGAATATCTCTTATCCTAAACTAAAGGGGAATATGATGGCCTCAGGGCTGGGTGTGCCCCCCACCCCGCATCTGTGGGCACCTGTACATTGTGTGGGTAGCTTGGGTGACTCCAGTAGGGCAGGAAGAGAGGCCACAAGACTCCAGGTCCTGTTTGTCCTCACAGCTACAAAGCCCCTGTCTGAGGTGTCCCCCTCTTGGGCAGGAAGAGGGCCAGGCTTGAGCCGTGGGGCTCAGCATATACTTCTGGAAAGTGGGACTCTGGTAGGCCCAGCAACTGCCTCCCCCCGCCCTCATCACAGGCTCCTGAGTCCCCCCAGACTAGGTTTGTACCAGGCTTCAGGGTGATACCAGCCCCCATGTGCCCTGCACTGTCCAGTGAGGAGTGTCTGGTTTGGGAGTTGGCTGTCATCCTCAGTTATGGTGTATTCACGGGAATCTACTGTGTTATTTGCCTTCAAAAGTGAGCAGTTGTCAGCTGGAGCCAGCATTAGATCTTGGGAACAGTGGGGGTACCTGCACTACTGGTGGCCCCGGGTCCTCTGGGCCTGTGACTGGCTGGGGACTGAGGCTATGGGCAAAAGTAATTTTGGGCAGGACCCTGTTCTCTAGGTGTTTGCAGACCCTACCATGAGGCCAGCCAACCTTGGTTCCTGTGGATCACAGAGATGGATCCTGGGTCACACCAGCAGCTGCCTGGAACAGGCCTGGCTTCCTGAACTTCGTGTTCTGTGACCATCCAGTGGTTATAGGATTTCCTCCCAGTGTCCCCAGGGTTCATCTGGCTTGTCATAGTTGGGAATTTTGGACCTGAAGGTCCAGCAGCAGAGTGTGCAGCTTGAGTCCTCCATCTCCCCACACAGCAGTACCCTAGAAGGAAGAGGCCCTGCCATCCCCCCATGTGCCCAGAGTCCACTCTTGCTGCCCTGGCTGGCACTGTGTAGCCAGGGCACAGGAACAAAGCTCACTTCCTCATGTGTGGGTAACTTCATCTCCCATTTGAGGTGACTTGGCTTGCTTCTGTCCCTGTGAGGATTGGCATCAAAGGTTTGGGGAACCTGGGACCCAGTGCATGGGTGCTGCTAGCAGAAGGCATGGGCGGTGCTGTGGGCCAGGTGGGGGGCAGCAGACCAGAAGAGGCAGATGTGGGTGTTGAAGCACCCTGCCCACCCCTTTTACCTCCTCATCTTCCCCTTCCTCTTCTTCCCCCTCGTCCTCACCCACCTCCAGGGGCTGCAGGTTGACCAGCGAGAGTTGTTATGGGGAGCACTGAGCAGGAATCTCCCATGTGGCCATGGCTCTCACATATTTGTCCGAAGGTGAGGGGCCAGAGCCTTGGCCACGTGGTGCCCACCACATGGTCAGGAAGGGCAGCACCTGTTGTGGCTTTTGAGCTTTGTATCGTGAGCACATACTGTCATTCAGCATGGGAACAATGGCAGACACACAACAGCAGACTCAGGATGGACACAGCTGGGCTTCAAAGAGGCCAACAGCAAGGGGATGTACACAAGGAAGATGAAGAGCAAGTAATGCCCAGGCTGGTAGGAAGGGGGAGATATGGGGAGCGGGCCATGATAGATGCACTGGGATGGATGGGGACCCATCAGGTGGATAAGCCACTTGAGGCTGGCTGTACAGACAGCAACACCTGCAGCCCCTCAATGAACAGGACCCTCAGGTTGGATCCTTCTAGTATGTTCAAGTAAGTGCCAAGCGTACCTTCTCTGCTTATCACGGTATCTGGCAGAGGCAATGAGAACTGTGTGTCCCTGGGAGTGTCTGCCCATGGAGTGGCAGAGTTGGTTCCTGATTTGCAGCCTTGACCCTCACCCAGGCAGGGCCTTTGGTCCCCTGCTGAGGCTTTACACTGTGCTTTCTCTCAGGTTGAGGCCTCTGGTATCTGCGCAACCAGCTAAGAAAGCAGCTGTGGGAGAGGTGAGTTGTCCTGCCTAGCTGGGTCAAGGGCCTTAGGAACACAACAAGCTATGGGCAGGATTGGCAGGCAGGGGCCCAGCAATTATCACTTCTGTGCTGGTGGTGGTAAAGAGGGCAGCTTGGGCTCTGCTCACATCCCAGAGCCTTGTCCTTTCCTTCCAGGCCTTGCTGTCCAGCTCCCCTGCCTTGGGAGCTGAGCTTATCAGGCCATCGGCAGTCCTAGTAGAAAGTGGCCCTGTGTCCTACCACCCTGATGAGGATGCAGACGAGGAGGACGCAGACGAGGAGGAGGGGGAGCCCTGCGTCAGTGCCCTGCAGATGATGGGCAGCAATGGTGGGTGTGACTTCACATAATTGGTGGGCCTGACACAGGAATTCAGCATAGGGGGGCCTTTCAGAGAAGTAAAGGCACAAACCATCTGCCTCTGATAATCCCTGGACTTAAGCCTGTCTAGAAGGAAGGGAATTGAACTAAAACACTGTGAATTGGCCATGTTGATTCTGAGGCCCTTGAATGTGCCAGAAGGAACTGGCCAGGGTCCAGGAGGCCAACTCCATGGGAAGAGCAAGGCACCCTCTGAAGACTGTGGGTTCTGAGCTTTCCAGGACAGCTGCTTGGCCAGCAGGTGGGGATCTCAGATTTACACCCATAGACACAGACCTGTGCACTTGAGTGGGGCAAGGTTGGCCATAGTTCTCATGTGTACCCTCAAGACCCCCACACCAGGTCCACCAAAATGGTGGTCTCCGTCAGTGGTGGGCCCGTGAGACTGGGTAGCAGGGTTGGTGCTACCAAGGCACCAACCAAGGAGGGAGCAGAAGAGGGTGTCTGGACTTCCACAATTGCCCTCTGTGCTTTGCAGATTATGGCTGTGACGGTGACGACGATGATGGCTACTGAACAACCTAAAGGCCAGGCAGCATCCTGGCCACTGGACCTTGAGCATGTCTTGCGGGGGTCAGATGGGCCCTGGGCCATGGCTCATAGGCATGAATGCCAAGACTTGGGACCAGCCAAGCACTGCCCCACTTGCTTTGAAACTCTCATCCCAAAGTCACATGTGGCTTCCGTGGTACTTACTATTGGGATCATGTTTTGAGCAATGTAAGGAATATTTTTACCCAGCAAGGGAAACTGATGATCTGTGTGTGTCTAATCAGATGTGGCCATAAGTGCCCAGGCCTGGGTCTCACAGCAAGACAGCCTGTGTCATTGATCCACCTAAGAATACTCAAAGGCAGGCACTGTTGTGTCCCTGTTGTGAGGAAACAGGTCAGGTCCTGTGCACCAGAACCCCGCTCTACCTGTAGCCCAAGTGCTGTGTCCCCATTATCTTCCTGAGAAACACTACCCAGCCCACTGCTGGGACTTAGAATCAGGAAAATACTGGGGAGGGAGGGAGCCAAAGTTGTGGGCAGTAGGCACGTGGCATGGCCAGCTGTTCCCACACTGAGTGGCTAGGTTAGTCTGGAGCTTGCCCTCTGCATTGAGCTGCAGTCCCAGCTTCCCTCTGAAGTGGGCACAAGTTCCCCATTACCTCCTACCTCCAAGGCCCACTCATTGCTGTGACCCTCTGAAGCAGCACAGACCTCAGCTTCTTGCTCTTGGACCCCAGGGTCTTGTGAAGTCTGCACCCAGGAATCCATGAGGCTGCCACATGGTGGATCAGTAAAGTTCATCTGACAGCATTGCTAGGTAGAGATGGCAGACCCCCTGCCCCAGCACAGTCACTGCTGTGCTGGGCATAGCCTTCATGGAGTCCTGGGCCCTAGCCAGCTCCGTTGCATAGAGTGAGGCTTAAGAATCTTTATGTCTCCTGACTGAGCTGGGAATGGGCTCAATGCCTGGGGACAGAGGTTCCCTGAGCCTCTCATGGGAAGGCCCAGGACTCCTCATGGGATGCCTACCAGCAGGGCTCTTACCTCAGGCCTCTCTTCCTTGATGCAGCCCTGGGAAGGAAGGCTTCCGCCCTGGCTAGGGTCTCAAGGCACACGACCAATTCCACCAGCCCCTCAGGAGTGGGTGGCTGCAGTGGTAGAGCTAAGCCACACCACCCTCCCCAGGCCCAACCTCTGCCTCAGGTGAGAGGGGCTGGGTGACCTGTACCACTTGGCTCCCAGGGGCCAGACCCCAGCCCAGCGCAGAAACTGGTTCCAGGCCTTTGAGTCCTGTGGCCACCATCTACTTCCTGCATGTTCTTAGCTGCCAACCTGGTCCCAGATTACTAGGAGGCTGGGGGGGCTATGATTTGGAATGACAGGAAAACCTGCTACCCAAGCAGAAATTGGCTGAGGCTGCTGTGTGGTCCCCTGCTGGGCTCACGGTGCCCTGCTCTGGCAGGCTGAACCTCGGGCACCCTACTGAGGCATGCCTACGACCCCATTGTGCTTGCTTTGTAGTCACCCCTCCTGCAGGAATTCTCTGGGCCTGTCAGGCCTAGCACTCCCTGGGCTGAGGCAGGGGACCTGGCTTCATGTCTCAGGGGCCAGCTCCAAGGGAGCATGGTGGGAATGTCCTGCCTTCATTTGCTGCTGAACTTCCTTGGTGATTTCCCACTCTGTCACTCACCTTTGCCAACATGTCCTATGTGGAGGGCCTGAAACAAAGGGGAGGGGAGTGCTTGAGAGGTAGGGGGCTGCTGGCCTGGAGTCAGGCAGCCAGAGGACAGTGCCCATAGCTTCAAAGGGGCATGTTTGCAGACACATACTATTCAGAGTGCTCATATGTGTACACATGCACCACACACTACATGTGTGCCTACATGTACATCTGCTTAAATGTATGTCCTCCTTCACCTTTGTCTATTTATAACCACTTCCATGTGAGTGCATGCCTGTCACTTCCCCATTCCCAGGTACACAGATTTGTCCAGACCTTTTTGCTGCTCCCTGTTGAGGAGAGGCAGAGAGGGTGGTCTTCATTCACTGTCAGAGTCAGGGCCGTCTTGAGCCTGCCATCTCCTTCCTTCCCAACCTTCATGGCTGGCAGAGGTTGCTGAGAGAAGCCCCATGATGGGCTACTGACCTCTGCTGGGTAATCGGGGATACATACAGGTTTCCACAGCAGGATAGCTGGAAGCAGAACTCTGGTGTGGAAGCTGGTTGACAGCCCTTCAACGGCTTGTACCACGAGACACGCGTGGGCTGCTCTCTGGCTAGGTTGGGGGGACCAGCCAGGTGGTGTGCCCTCTGGTGGTTACACATGGCATGACCTTGGGACCGATCGAGGCAGGGTAGCAACCAAGGTAACAGTCAAGATGGGACCACAAGCACCTTTGCTGCCTCGCAGTGCCCTTGCTGGGCTGTCCAGATGCCTCTGCATTCCTTCCCTTCTGGGATCTAAGGAGTTTCTCATAGGCCTGGTCTCCGCAGAAGCCAACCCTTGTGGTCCCTTCCCCTCCTTTGTGGGGACAGCTGATGCTCAGGACCCTGGAGCCCCCCAGTCCTGACCCCATTGCAGAACTGTCTCACCACTGGCCACCCCCAACACACACACACACACACACACACTCTTTTCAGCCCAACTCGGGATGCCCCAGCCTGCAGGGGATGCCCCAGGACCAGCGGACTGGTACTCTGCTCTGGTTGGATTGGGGATGGGGCACATGTGGCTCCTGCAGTCCCCTCTCTGCCAAGGTGGTAGACCCTCCTCAGCCCTGGGGCCCTGCCCTATGGCCAGCACCTGCCCCACTCCCTTGGCTGTCACATATGCATGGTCCAGCCACCCTGCAAAGGTGCCCTGGCCTCTTGAGAGATGATGAGAAGTCAGTTGGTTCCTTAGGTAGGGGTCCCCAGCCTGTGGTGAGCTCCAGGAGAGGGCTCCTGGGCAGATACCTGGGACTCTGTATGCTTGCTGAGCTCTGGTGTGTGAGGCCGCTGCTTCCCTGATGCTCAACACCTGTCTCTGCTTCCTGCTACGTGCCTGGAGGGCAAGCTAGTCCCTGGGGGCCTGGGCTGGGCCAGGTTGGCAAGGGATGGAAGCTGAGGGTCAGGCCAAGGCTGCAGGTTGGCGCCTGAGGCCTGCTCAGGCCTTCAAAGGGGCTGTAGGCGGTGGCAAAGGGCAAGCTCTTTATGGTTTTCCTGCTGGGAGGGGAACTTGGCTTTGGAGGCCATTGTCCCCACACAATGGGCCTGGCTGAGACCCATGAGGGCAGGGGCCCCCTGGCTGGTGGAACCTAGTGCTGATGTCAACTGTAATCCCAACTTCAATCTGCGCCTTGACCCTAGCCTATCACTGGTTCTCATTCTGCAGTGCCACCCTGTTATCTACCTCTAAATGATACTGGCCAGAGAGGAGCTACACCCCACCGGGTGGGGGGCACTCACAGGGAGCTCCAAGGGGCCTTGGTGGAAGAGGTACTGTGTAGTCAGGCCAACTCAAAGGCAAGTAGGGTGAATGAGAGGTGTCGCCATACACTGGGCAGCAAAGCTGAGCCCCCAGCCAGCCCTGCTGTTGAGGTGGAGGCCTGGCAGGCCCAGGAGGCACTAGCTGGACCAACGCTGGGGAAAGAGGCCAAAACTGTGTCAAAGGCCTGGTCCCCTTGGTGATCTGTAGACAGTGCTCACTCTGTCAAGTGATATGGGGTCCCCTTTCTTTGGCAACTGGGGAGACTTTGCGCTAGCCCTTTTGTGTAGTCTTCTAGGCACTTGCCTCAGCAACACTTGGGAGAATGACACCAGCCTGGCTTAGTCACCTGGCACATCTCAAGGGATGGGCCACCAAGAACCCTGCTTCCAGCCTCCCACAGCCTGGTGGAGCTGAGCTGGCCCCTGAGAGATGCCCCTAAGGTAGGGGGCATGAGTCAGACTTGGGCAGGTGGAAGTGAATGCTGTGGGCCCAGAGGTTGAGCAAGGTCGCACACTGTCCTTAGGGGCATGTTCAGAGATGGCACTGTGTGGGCCCTGAGGGTGGTTTTCAGCCCTCTGAAGTTAAAATGGTACTAAGGGGACATTTGTGCAGGCCCAAGTGAAGGGTTGGTGGTTTCAACCAATTTGAGCTATCCAAATTCCTGAAGAACACGATCACCAAGACCCACACGCACGGGTACTCTGTAGCAAAGCCAACAGGAGAATTCTGCTTAGCTACATGACAAGTGGAGGATAAAACAAGTAACCCAAAGCAGGCAAAGCTAGAGGGGTTGTCCAGGTTTTGCCTCAGCTTCACATGGATACGCTCATGTAATGGAATAACGGTTAAGCTGTTAAAGTTTCCATTTCCTTGTTTCACACGTACAGTTACGTGCACAGACACAGGCGTGCATCTGCATCCCTGGAAATGGGGATAATAGGAAAGACATTGATGTTTCTGTCCCTGTGCCTGGACTCAGGCTGGGAGGGGGTGGGTAGGATAGGCTGCCCCCTCTGAGTGCTCACCTTCAGATTCCCTCTCCCAAAAGGCCCCTTAGCAAGCATTCCCTCCATCTGTACTCAAAACTGGAAAATACATGCTTCTCATTTACCTGTGAATTATTTCACTCCACAGCATTGGCAGAGCCTTAGGATCAAGCACTTGCTCTGAAGCTGGGAGGGGGGCAGCCAGGCCCTCCCTTGTTGAGGAGCTAGGCATTAAAACCCATTGGAGTGCACACATGCCTGAGCGTGTAGATGGATCCACAGGCACAAGTGTTCAGGGAAATCAGGTAAAAGGAGAGTAGACGCTAGGTGCAGCAGATAGCAGAGAAAACAGGCCACTCTGGTGGCCAGGCAGGATCTGAGCAGAGTGGCCTGTTGGCCCTCTCTGTTCCCAGAAGCCCCTAGCTTGTGACTGGGGAGATGGAAAGGGGCTGGAGGGCTCAGATACCCCATGTGGGCACGAGGTGAGCAGAAGGAAGCCAGGTTGGCTCCCAAGTGAGGGTCTGGGCAGGAGCTTGTGGGAAGGAGTGGGTTCTGTTGGGGCCCAGTTTAGGGGTCTGTGAAATAGGCAGGGGTCTTTGGATGGGAGAGTTGGATGGTGAGGTAGAATCTGGGACTCACCAGCTTATGGATGACCTTCAAGGCCCCTGGCAACACATCCCTAGTCAGCATGCTGCCTCAGCCTGGTCCTGGACAGGGCTGCTATTCTGGAACAAGATTTCTCACCCCATTGACTGAGTGATCTCAGGCTGAGAATTCAGAGGTCTCAGGTCCAGGCCACACATGCATGCACAGGTATGGGGGAGCCCAGGTGCTGCACCCCTTTGCTTGAGGCTCAGCAGTCGGGTGGGGATCTTGGTCCTGGCCCCTAGGCAGCACTGAAGGCCCTCTTCTCATGGGTCTTAGCTGGGGGGTGGGGGGGGCTCCAAAGCTGACAAGAGCCCTGCTTAAGGGAGGAGCAGTATTTCCCCTGTAGTCAGGAGCCACCAGACAGACAGCTATTCTCCCACTTCGCTGGAGGCAACCTGAATACAGGTAGGATCACGCATCTGCATCATCAGATCAAAACCAGCCTCCCGGGCCTTCTCTGCCTCCTCCCCAACTTCAGTTCCCATCCTTACAAACAGCATCCCTGGGCCCAAGGGTGTGCTGAGGTGAAAGTGGAAGTCAGTTCTGCTGGTAGGCAGTATACTCCAGGGTCCTGCTGACAGTCCAGTAAAGCTCAGAGACAAGTCCCAAGTAACAGGAGCATCTGTGATGGTGAAGGGCCAGGAGAGCCCTAGGAGGCCAGGTGGGAGGTGTGTAGGGGTGGGGAGCAGGATCTGGCCAGGCAAAAATGCACAAAAAGTCTCAGGCTTAAGGAGGAGGCACGCACCTACCTATCTGGTACCCAGGTGACAACAGAATGTGTAAAGGCAGCACCAATGGAGCTGCAGGGACCTGGGGAAAGACAGGAGCCTACAACAAAGGGCTATGAGGACTTCTATAGGTGGGAGGAGCCAGGGTTTCCAAAGGCTGGTGTCATGCTCACTGCAGAGTGGGGAACAGCCCAGCTGTGGGTAGGGAACTAATGTATAGTCACTGAGGTTGTGTTATGTGCTGGGGTCTGAGGGCCTTGCAGCAGTAGCCAGGTTTGGGGGAAAACAGGTGGAGGTGCCTTAGCCATGCTGGACTGGGGTTGGGACGAAGGGATGAGGCTTCCTGAGGGCAGGCAGCTGAGCAGGACTCTAAAATGTGGGGGTGGTGCTGATGAATGGAGAGTGGTGGGATAGCAGAGAGGGAGTTAGCCAGGTAGAAAAGTGGGGGGAGAGGGCAGGAGGATGCAAGCAGGCAGGCGTCCTCATGCTGGGCCCTGTGTGAGTCACTACTGACCCAGTGTCCTGGCGCCAAGGGGGCCCAGGCCACTTGGGCCACAGGAAACAGTAAGGCTGATAAAGGGCAGGGATTGGAAGCCGCTGGGCTTCCCACTTCCTGTGGTCTGAGTGGTGGGGCCAGACACCCAGCAGGCATCTGTTTATGCAGGCCCAGCTGTCCATGGCCTGGGCTGGGTGGCTCACAAAACAGGACACAAAAGTGCTCTGTGGCCTGTCTGGCTGCACCCTTGGATGGTGTGGAGGGGAAATGCCCCAGTGGGTGCAAGGAGTCTCAGACAACTGCCAGAAGGAAAGACAGCTGCAGTTTTGAGGCAGTATGGAGAGGGCAGCTAGAGCAGGGATACAGCTAGGGCCAGGCCAGGAAGGCAGAGGAAGAGGTGGCAGGTATGTCCACTGAGCCAGGCCACAGCAGGGATCCCTCCCTGGATCCATTTCCTGCAGTCCAGCCTCCACAAAGAGCTTCCCAGGGGCTTCAGAAGGAGGAAGAGGCCCAAGGAGGAGGGTGGGTTCCCAGAGTCCCCTGGGAGGCTACTGGACAGTCTTGCAGGGCTGAGGAAAGCCTGAGAGTGCCTGATGAAGGAGGACTTTGCCTGGAACGAACCCTCCATGGCCATGGCCTCCTGCTGTGCACGTGGGCGTGAGGTCCAGCTGTCCCTACCGGCACAGCGGGCCTCCAACAACCAGACCCTTGCAGAAACCCAGGCAATGTCCCTGGCCACACAGGCGGCCATTCTACCCCAGAACAATGCGAAGGAAGCGCAGCACGGCGCTCACGTTTCCCAGCATCAGGACGGATAACGTCTGTTGGTTTGGGAGAGAAATGGCAGACATTACGCCCTCATCAAAACGTGCCTTTTCATTTTCCGGCACAGGACTCAGGCAGGCCGCTATCAGCGGAGTCTACACCCCACGGCCACAGGGGCGGGGCCAATCGCAGAGGGGCGGGGCGGAGCCAGCTCGCCGGTGCGCTAACGGTATTGGTCCGCAAGAGGCAGACGGAGCGCGCCGGCTCCCCATTGGTCTCCAGCTGGATGGGCGGGGCGCCGCCTGTGCACTCCACCGCTGGGCATCGGGCTTGGAGCGGAGAGATGCTGCGGGGTCCCGCCGGCTTGCGGGAACGCGCTGCCAAGAGGGACGGGCGCGCCGGGCGTCCGCTCTGCGCTGAGTCCTACAGGCAGGGTCTTATCAGCGCTGACAGCTGGCGGCCGGTCCCTGCGCGAGCGCCCCGGCCCAATTCAATGGCCATTGTCCGCCGGCCCCTTTGTTCAGGAGGCGGCCACTTCCTGCAGGGCCGAGCTGGGGGCGGACGGCAGGAAACCAAGACGCGGAGGCCGGTCCGGCCTGGGGTTCTGTCCCGGGGGTTCAGCCCAGTTCGCGGCGTACACGGCGGGTGGGTGGGCCAGAATGTCCCCTCCCTGCGAAGCGAGGTTGGGTGGCTGGGCTCATGAGATCAGATCCTGTAGAGCTGGGGGAGGGGCAGAGGAAGGAGGAGGAAGGTCCTTCTACAGGGGCGCCCCTCCCAGGTCTGCTGCCTCCTGCAGATCCCTGGTAGGGGCTGACCGCCTCAAAGAGGTTAAGAACCACTGTCATCAGGCTGGTGGAATTCAAGTGTCCAGACGTGGAAACCCCACTCCCACTTGCAGGACAAATCCACTGGGGACTCTGGATTGGGAGGACTATGCATGGGTGGAGGAGCCCTTTCCTGGCTGTGTGGTGCCCTTGCCTGCTGACCTCACCCGGGACAGACCACCTCCCTGGGGCCTCACTTAGCCCATGGGTCAACCCAACCTAGCCCTCTGGCCCGGCTTCAGGAGTGTACTCACCCATAGCTGGAGTGAGGCCTGTGGGAGAAGAGAGTTGGCTGTAGGGCTACAGTCTACCAGTCCTCACCCTGCTGCCAGAGACCACCCAGTAGGGGCAGGACTGTTACAGCCCCTACCCCCTTCTGATCCCGTGCAGTGATTTCTATCCCTCTGCTTGCTGTTCCTCTGTCTGAAGCCCCAGGCTGCCATCCCTGCAAAGTCTTTACTCAGTCCAACTCAATCAGAAAACAGAAACTGCCACAGATATTTCACATAGGTAACACAAGGAATTGGTCATGAAGGGCTTGAATGGGTGGGCACAACTGACAGAGTACAGCCCACTAACCCAAAAGTGAGGCCAGAGGAGTGGAGGGGTAGCTGCTACCCAGGACCCACAGTTGCTGTGTCCCACACAGCTGGGCTGCTGTTGGACAAGCTCTTGCCAATATCATGACCACTGTTCCTTTGTCTGTCCCCACTGTTCTGCCAGAAGCTGGACAGACATGGCCTTTTCCTACCAAGGTTACCATGGCAGACAGCAAGGGACTGGAATGTGTAGGTGGCAGCCTTCCCTGTAGTGGAGAGAAGGCTCCATCACATTTTCACCCCATGGGGCAGAGTGGGACTGGGAACCACCAGCACCCCTACCCCCCCAGTCCCTTCCTGGGGCCCAGGAAGATTTGCAGGCTGATAGCCACCCAGCCTGGTTCCTTGACCCTTAGGCATGAATTGTCTTATCTCCAAGCTTCCTTAGCCAGTATGTGGAAGTTGTGCAGATAAAAGGAGGCATCCCATGGACAGTGCCCACCATAGTTCAGTGCCTAGTGGGCTCTTTACAAACAGCAGCAGATACTCCCAAAGGGCCTGGATCCCTTTAGGGATCTGACCCATCCTGTGAATGGGGCAAGGAAGCCAGGAGAGAGTGGCTGGAGCCTATTCTTGAACCTATGTTAGTTTAGATCATCTAAGAAGCAGAAGTCAAGCCAGGGTCCCTTGCAGAAGAGAGAGGAGGAAGAGGAGGAGGGGAGAGCCCAGCATGGGACAGAGGCCTTGGAAAGGAGAGAAGACAGAGCCACAACCCCAGGCAGCTAGGTGTGTGGAGGGGGCTTGGGGGGGGGGCGTGTGGGGGTGATGGGGATGAGGGCTGGTGTCAGCTGGCCTCCTGCAGCAGGCTGATGGCAAGGATGTGCAGAGGTTGGTCCCACCACCTGAGTGCTGTAGGGCCCCTAGGGGAAGGGCAGGAGATGAAAGAAAGGGAGAGCCAGGCAAGAACACGGAGGACCAGGGAGGGAGGTGGTCAACAGGGACTGGCCTGAGGCTGAGGTGAGGGGCGGTGGGCTGCCTTGTGGTGGCATGAGCCCTTTAGCCCCAGAGACTACACCAAGGTTGAAATACAGAGTTGGAGAGGTGACTAGAACACAGGGAGGGCTGAGCAGAGCTATAAAGGCTGGATAAGGAGTGCCGTATTTTTTATCACGTGGCTGTCCTCACAGAATCTCTTACAACATTCCTCCTTCCCCAAAGTGGGGATATAGCTGTCAGCTCTCCTCCCTTAAGATTCTTAACCTGTACTTCTCCAGAAGACCCCCTACACAGGTCAGACAGCCACTTAGGACCATGCACTATGCAGCCTGCAGGCTTCTGCAACTTCAGCCATAGCCCCTGCACAGGGGTCTTCATCTGCTGTCACTGCCTAGCCTTCCCATGTCCAACAATGCCTCCACCCTGTGACCCTTCCTTTGCTGCCTCTTCCCTGGGACCTGTGGCTCACCCTCACCACAAGCCTCTGGCTGTTCTAGAAGCAATGCCCTTCTCAGAACCAGGGCACCACTGACTTCTCTGCCCTGGACCCTCTGTCCCCTGAGAATCTCCCTATGTTGCTTCAGGCCACCTCCTCCAGGAAGTTCTCATGCTGTCTGCAAGGCCAGTTGGTGCCTGGAAGCTAAAGCCTTGGAGGAGGGTAGTCTTCAAGTACAAAGTTGGCAAATGGATCCTCACCCCATGGGGGGAACTTGGGGTGGGGAGAGCTCTGGGGCCGTCAATTTGTGGGAGGTCTCTGCATGAGTCACCCCCTCAGGCCCCGGCACAAATGCAGGA